AATGAGAATGGTTTGCTAAAATGAGAATGGTATGGTAATTCTTAAGTGTCTAGGTTAGAACTGGTGGAACTAAAGAATTTAGTTCATCTTAAGTTTTTTTGGTATCTGTCTATATTTCTGAGATGTGGTATTATGTACACTATTTACATTATTCAGACTACTGTCCTCATCTTTGTCGCCATATTTATTACAACGTTTCGGCCGTTGTACGCTCTGGCCTTCTTCAGGTGGTTGGAATAGTTTTGTGGCCTAGTTTTTTTATTTAATTTTTTCTTTTGTGTTCTTATAATTTTTTTTCTTTTCTTGACATAAAGTATGTCAAAATTGTCTGAATGTTCTCTATGTCCGAGCGCTTTCAGCCATGCTTTTAGCCATTATCAACAAAAGCACTTGGACATAGAGAACACCTCAGACAATTTCTACATACTTTATGTCAAGAAAAGAAAAAATTATAAGAACACAAGAGAAAAAATTAAATAAACCTGAACTGCAGTACATTGTCAGTCGTTATATATATTATATATATATATATATATATATATATATATATATATATATATATATATATATATATATATAAATTATATTCAGATAGACTGTATTTGTGAAGAAACAAAATGAATAAAAAGATAAGAGGTAAAATTATTCTTAGCCGATGTGTCTCGTCTTCTGATGGACTTTATCAAGGGAAATGTAAGGAATTATTTGGTTGCACTCATGCAACAAAATAAATCCTTACATTTGCCAATGATAAAGTCCATCAGAGGACAGAATGCATTGGCTAAGTATAGTTTTTCCTCTTATCTTTATATATATATATATATATATATATATATATATATATATATATATGTGTATATTTTAAGCATATTTTCATCCAGAATTGTTTCTATTATAAACATTGTAATAAGTGGGTACACATGTTTGAGTAGACATCCTTGATTTTTTTTAATCAGTGTGATTAAAACATTAAAACTTCAAGTAAAAAACAATTTCCAGTTTAATTTGAACCTGGATAATCATGTTGTGATGTCTCCATTCATGCTCAACCTGATCTGAGTGTTACATTCACATCACACATACCATCCAGTAGTCCTCTACCTTGAGTAGCTCTCAAACCTTGTACCAGATGAAATTTAACATTAAAAAAATTGTTACAAAATCCAAAAAGAATATCATATCAACACTGAAATTGGAAAATATATGAAAAATGACTAATTGTTACATAAATTAATGATGCTTTGAATATTGTTCTCTGATTATATATTTAGAGATTCTTGATAAAATCCAAAGAAGAATCCACAATATTACTAGTCTTGACCTGGCATCTCAGCTTCAGTTACTTTCCCACTGGTGTAGTGATTTTCCAAACGTAGCTCAGATGTGGCACAAGGCCGAAAGTATGGGGTACCTAGTGAGGATCGAACTCACTACTCAGTCATAATTGTTCTAGCTAGACAAGCTTGCTAACCATTACACTGCCCCTTTCCAACTGGTGTAACATAGCCTCCCTGTGCTTTTTCTATAGATAATTTCATAGTAATCGTTCTGATGAACTTTCCTCTTTGTTACTTAGATGTTATGAATTGAAGCAGATTACTAGGTTGATAACAGGATTTCATTAATTTTTATATGAACTGGCTAGATGCAAAATGTAAGTTCTATGCTAACAGTTCCTTCTCTCTCTCTCTCTCTCTCTTATTGCTTATGGAATGCTATGCTTTCCAATCACATTTGAATTCCAAAAATTTAAATGCAATGTCAACTATCATCTACTGTTTTCTTGATGCCTCTTCTTTTATTAATCTCCTTAATAATGTTTCTCTTTTTTCTTATTCTTTCACACTCAGTAACCTTATGGAATAACACAGTAATTCCATCTACATTTTACGCGCGTGCGAGTTTTCCTCCCTTCCTACCACACTTGTGCATGTGTGCGCACACGCCTGCGGATTGCACCCCTTCCTCTCTCTTTCAGCTAGACGTAGCAGTAATCGCTGGAGAGAGGAAGGTCGCTTACTAGCTCCTGCTGATAAAGTCAGCCTAACAGAATTTGAATTTTTTCCTGCGCGTTTTCTTGACGTCACGGACGCCAGCGTTCCAACTCAGTTGCATCGTGATTTTCAAGCTGGCTAGACGGACAACTCATTTATTCCATGCCCTTAACCCACATGCAGGCCGGAATATCTTATTCCTAACTACCAAAAATTTCAACATGTTGACCTTACACTTTCCCAAGATTCATTCTTGTCTTGATGTAACCCGCAGGTCGAACCTTCTCCGTTTTTGGCTAGAAAACATAGAGATACACGACACAGTCGCCAGTATATATTTTTCCAGGACAACTTGTCTTGATGCGAACAACCTTCGAACATTCTAACTACTTTGAACCTTCTCCGTTTTTAACTGGAAAACGTGGAGACCCACAACACAGTCGTCAGTATATATTTTCCAGGACAACTTGTCTTGATGCGAACAACTTTCGAACATTCTAACTACTTTGAACCAGTACCTAAAAAAATATTACATACACTCACAATACCAAATTACACAGTGAGTACTTTTCATACTTGTGTACACATACACCTTGCGTTAACAAGTCATTTTTTCCAGAACTTTCATTCTGATGAAATCTTTTTCCCGCCTTGTCCATCTTGCTTTCCTGTTTTGGCACGGAACACTTTCTCTGATGATCTCGAATGACGAGACAACCTACTTGTTTCTATTTAATAAAAATTTCATATATGTTTTTCAACCAGACGCCTTGTGTCGTTTAATTCCGGCTATCTACTTGTATTATTATTTATGCACTTGTTGATTGACCCCTTTTCCTCACTATGTTCACTCACGCAATATATTTCTACTTTGCTTGTGGATTAGGTAGTTTTGTGTAGTGTCTGGCACAAGGCCACTTTTTAATAAACCAGCACTGCACGCTACCGAGTCTGCAACAGCCTTTTGCATTTTAGAAGCTTTACTGCTTTGCTTGGGGTAGAATGATTAAAAAATTCTCTATGAAATAAAGATTGCATTATTTTTGTAAAAATATATTTTTTATATATATTTATATGAAGAGTGTTTCATAAAGACATTATATATAAAGCTGTTTTGTTAAGACGACTCAAAGTCAGCAGTAAATAAATCAGTGTTATTGGCAAAGATTTATTTATTTCTCTATTGGATCATGTTATTTAAGTCATGGCAATTATGTGTGAAAAATAATATTACTCAAATGTTTGCCAACTCTGAAAGAAAAAAATCATTAGACACTTAAATTTAATTCACATTAAAATTGGTCCAAGAAGCAAAATTGAACTTAATTATATATAATGATTTACATTTAATAATTTATAATTATTAACTAGCTTAAAAGCCACCCTATCAAGTGGCATTTAAGCTAGCTTCTGCAGAGGGATCTTGATTGGGCCTTCATCACAATAGGTAGGTAGGGAATAGTAGATGCAATAAACAACAATAAACTATCAAAAAACAACAATAAACTATCAAAAAAAAAACAAAAACTGATCACTGCATTTAAGTATTGTATTCTCCTCCAGTTCCTATCCCACAAACGCAGGTGTTCCCCAAGGCTCCATCCTTGGCTCCACTCTATTCCTTATTTTCATCAATGACCTTCCTGACACCATAGATTCCCAAGTTGGCATCTACGCGGACGACACTACAATTTACACCTGCCTCAAAAACAAATCTAGTGTTGCTGACAAAACTAACCTGGCTGCTCATCTTGAAATGGACCTCCAATCGGTTGTTAATTGGGGCAAGAATTGGCTGGTCAACTTTAACGACTCAAAAACTAAACTACTCTCTATTAATCACCATAGAGATCCTTCCCTGACCCCCATTAGAATGTCTGATAGTCAACTTCTTGAGAGCAACTCTCTGCGTCTGTTCGGTCTCACGTTGACTGCTGACCTAAGATGGAACAAATACATTGAGTCCATTGCTTCATCCACCGCGAGGAAAGTTGGCTCTCTGTGCCGCGCCAGGAAATTTTTCTCCCCAGAATTGATACTTCAAATCTACAAATCAACCATTTGCTCTTGCATGGAGTATTGCTGCCATATATGATCTGGTGCACCTTCTATTTACCTCGGAGTTCTTGACAAGATCCAGAGGCAGATATGTAATATAATTGGCCCTGATCTGGCATCTCATCTACAGTTGCTCTCTCACAGATGTGCCGTCGCTTCTCTCTGTCTTTTTTACAAGTACTTTCATGGTAATTGCTCCGATGAGCTGCTTTCACTGGTTCCCAGACTTCATGAATTCAAGCGCCCTACGAGGCTGGCATCTCACTCTCACACTTTCACTGTAGAAACTTTTAAATGTAGCCGTCTCTTCTACTCCAATAGCTTCATACCTCGCACCTCTCGCCTGTGGAACACCCTTCCCTATTACTGTTTCCCTGAGAGCTATAATCTCCAACTATTCAAATGTAATGTCAATCGACATCTCCAGTTACCTTGATCTATCCACTATCCCTCTCCTCATCCTTTCTTCTATCACTCCTATCTACTCTCACTCCAAATCTTCTGCAATCCCCTGCATCCTAGTGGCTTCATGCCTTGCTTGGGGTTTAATGCTTAAAAAAAAAAAATATTTAAACTTACCTTTTAAAGGTTCAATGATAATTTTTCTGCTGCCACT